CCGTAGTTCGTTCCTTATTACTTTGTACAGGTGACATTTGACCTATATACATTATACTAACCCCAATACTCCAACTAACCCTAACCTGTTCTAAAAATATGAGACCCACGACTTTCATTCCTAGGACTACCGTTTTTTGTCACGCCGGTACAAATAACTTGCTAGCATGTATTATAAGTCTTCAACATGTGCCCCTAATATGGCGTTTGGCCGATTGCAGTATAGAATATGATTTTGATTATATACTGGTATGACCATAAATAAACAAATGGTAAAAAATAAATTGGACTCTGAACTGACTGAGATAGCAACAGTTTATTTTGAACATTTTATTTAATAATAATAATAATAATAATAATAATAATAATAATAATTTGTTGTTGTTGTTGTTGTTGGTTTTACTAAGGACATTTCCCCTATTTTCCATTTTTTCAATGCGTAATGGGGTGATCACTTGTTAAGTACAGATATTTAACCTCAGTACAGAGTTAGAACTCCTAATTCTATTGTACTGTATATGCGTATCATGGTGACTCAGAGGCTTGCCAGCTTATCACAATGTGGAATGCTTATCACCCAGTGCAAATAGTGTTTCAAAGTTATAGCTGGACGTCTAAATCCTATGTTACACTGATTTCGGCAGAGGTATATTGATAATAGTGACATATCCAACTCAGGGTAGATGTTCAGAAATAACGCTGTCATAAACGATAACTATGTTTATTTACTCAGGGGCGATGACTGTGTTTTCACACGCTTTTTGTAAAATGAAAATAGGTCGTTCCATAGAGATCGAGCCTCTATTCATATGAAACTCAGGGTATTTGTACAGAAATAGCGATGTATCCAACAATAAAATGTCTGTTTAGTTTGGGCCGATGACTGCGTTGTCACACGCTTTTTGTAAAATGAAAGTAGGTCGTTTTATAGATTTGGCATTCAGTTGATAATAAGAGAGCTTTCATCGGCAAGTCAGGTTTCATTGATAACGAACAAAATGCTAGTCGAACGCAGCTAATCTGTTAAGGCTGAGAAACAGTTTGATAAACTTGGCATTGTCACATAACTTTGTCAACGCACTGGTTCTGTCACAAATTACCGCAGTCCACCGGATAGAGTATAGAGTGTGTGTTTGTCTTTTCATTCCACGGTTTGGTCCTTTATTTAAACCAAGCTTCGGCTGATATCGCGAGCAAGGATTATAGACTACAAAACGGAAGTGGTTGACTGTTGATCATGATTATAGACGCGCTTCTGAAGTTGACACTACTTCTGTCAAGCCTGTATTTTGTTACCAGCCAGCGTACCGCCGATCGTGACGTCAGTATAACCATTGACGTCAGCCTCGACTATGACGTCAGTTCTCCCAACAACGTCACACTGGACATTGCAAAGTCTATCTTCTCTGGCCGAGGTCAACAGTACCAATATGTCCAGCATCCAGAACTATTCAAGGATGGGTCAGTATTTCTTGTGTCCTATTACATAATTATGATGCGACTGTTATGGTTTAAGTGTGTCCTTTCTGACGCTACTTTTTGGCTGAGCAGAGTGATAAAAAAACATTGTAAATGATCCTATCTTTTTACTTATAAGCTTTAACTTATGCTAATTCAGTCTAAGTTCACGAGCGATCATGTCTTCTGACTAAACTCAATCTTAGTATTTAAATATACATTTCCTGAATGTTTATTTCTTCTTGCAGTCCTAAAAATGTCACAGACCTGTGGGTGAAATTTATCGACGCTTTTCAGTACCAAACTCCGTGCACAGTGGATCCAAGCAACTTTAGTGATTTCGTCAATGCTGCTGCCCATGACATACCCAAAGATAAGGTCTCTCTCTCTCTCTCTCTCTCTCTCTCTCTCTTTTTTAAAAGAGCACATATTTAACATAAAAAAATCAGACTGCGTAGTCCACAAACCAGTGCTATTTAATAGGCATCACCCGGGATGGCCTAACCGACAGCAATGCGAGACGCCATATCGGACCAGAAAATGTGCGTTAATCCGCGTGAAACTTGGTCCACTGTTTAACGATAAAGGCGAAAGTCTTTGCATCGAGAATGTCACCTTACAAAGCAATTTCAAGGTGACACTCAAAACTAGTGCGTAATAGACTGTACATAGATGAAACAAACAGAAAAATATCCTTGGACAAATCCCGTCGTTTTTATTTGCTGTCTCGAGGCACTGAAGTCTACCATTATCTGACAATACTTTAGTCCCTTAAGGGCTCATTCAGAACAGAAGATCCAAAGATCAACTGATCCACGGATCAAATATGGCGGACCCTACATGAAAGAAGAGCCGACTTATCAGGTCTCACCGCCTCCACACGCGCCATTAAACGGATTAAATCAAGTCTATATGGTTTAATTGCTAGACCCACGCAAGGACGGCGCGTGTGGAGGCGGGGAAACCATCAGCGGATTAGTCGGATCTTCTTTTATGTTGTATCCGCCATATTTGATCCATGGATCAGAAGATCCTCGGATATTCTTCTTAAAGTCCCGCAAAACACGCTCGATTTTACGCGCATTCGTGAGACCTCGGGTCATCAAAAGCTCATTGTATCAGTCCGTGTGTTTAATGGCAGTGTTTCTTTTTTCTTTTTTTTTTTTTTTTTTTTTTACGTATCTCACGTTTTTTTTTCAGACGCTGTTGTGGAGTAAAACAAGAACATTAGCCAACACATATTCCCAGTCTGGAGGTAGATATTTCACCATTACAGATTCATTGTCAGGTGAGGCCTAATAATCCCTCTTCAAAAAGAGAAAGTAATTTTTCTCTGTGCACTATATAAAGAATGGGAGTGCTTTTTGAAAATCCGACCTCACAATTCCTAGACACTGTCCTACATGCTTTTACTGACAAAAGTGAGATCTTTAATAAAACATCATATATACATCCAATTTATTCTCCATATATTTTCATATCTATAATGACCTGTCCAGATATGATTTAGGTTTTTTTCGGTTCATTTTTTGACATGTACGTAAGGGATCATCTCTGGGGTGACTCTGAAAATCACCAATATTGAAAATCATCAACAGTGACAATCTGACCCCTGCACCCTTATAATTACCAATAAACCACCTTTAAGACGTCCAGGGAAGAGAAAAAAATCAAACACTGTAACATAAGTTTCGACCACACCTAAATCGATGGGTTGGGAAGGTGATCTCATACAGATCTAAAGACATTTGATTTTCAAACAGGTTTCGAGGTGGTCTCATATCAACATGATTCATATATGCGAAAGATTGTTGTTGTATTTTTGCCTGTGGGACACGCTTTTAACATTATGCAAACCGAGATTATACCAGCATATGTGTGTCAGAGAAGAATTTCATCAGCTGTTTAATGTCATAAGAATAAAGGATATTTTATTCAATTAACAGCTTAAATTGAAATTGTTTACCTTAAATATTGATAAGGATTTTCGCCACAGGTCTGTGTCTCAAGCTTGCGGGAATTGTATAAAATCAATAGAAGGGATATATCAAGATTTGCACTGTCTTTTCTTTTTCTGTGCAGGTTATCTAGTGAACGACTTGGATTTTTGTGCACAAAAACAATACCCCGGGGTGAACTTCAGATCTTGTCCCCCGCCGTCTCATCAGTGCCAGAAGGGGGCAGAATTATCATTTTGGCGCGAGGCGTCGAGAAAGGTAAACTGCTGTTTTCATCAACATCTTTGTTTCGGCATCAAATCGGTGAGCGGTCAACTTACCAACTGTATTGTTTTTTTTTAATATTGAGAAAATTTAGAAAATGATACAGAAAAGTGGAAAATGTAGAACAAAATATGAGAAGTACAAGGTTGTATGTGGCCATCGGATTTAACGTGTGAAGCATTCGTGCCAGAAGTTCTCCGTTTCTCTGTTTCGGTTTGGGGACGGCATGCTGCTGAGAGCTAATGAAGTCCAGGGTCCCATGTGGTTAGTACAGATTAAGGTAAGTCGGAGAACTGGTATGGGGCGAATGTCACCTGAACAAAGTAAAGGAGAACGGCTTACGGTTCCTAGCCAACTACCATTCCTGTCACACCGGCCTACCATATACCTCTTATACATGTAAGACGTGTTCATTTTCACCTAAAATTAATTTTTATAAATTGTGATGTTCCAGTTTGCCGAGTTGGCCTCTGGCACTGTCCATGTGTTATTGAATGGTTCCACCATAGCGTACAGCAATGAAAGGTGTGTTCTCTCTGTATTTCTCTTCCTTCTTCTCGTCATATTCAACACGCTTAAGCGCGCATACACTCACAAGTCTCTCTCTCTCTCTCTCTCTCTCTCTCTCTCTCTCTCTCTCACACACACACACACACACACACACGTTCACTATATTAGGAAACACATATTCAGTGCAAACAGCCAGCACACACAATGCAACCATTCATTCCGACTTCTGATCCGTGTTTTTTTTTTTTTGCTTCAGTATTTTCTATGGCTACGAGTTGCCTAGCCTTAGAGAAGGGACAGTGACCGAGATTCGCGCTCTGGTAGTTCATGATCTTGGAGTCCGTGGGCGGTAAGAGTTATTTTATAGAATGACAGTATTTACGCATCGTCACGTCAGTGCTGGCGCTGAAGCATTCGACGTTAATTTCAATCTAACACCGTCGATAGTTTTTTTTTTCAAGTATAACAAGGCTTCCATCATGAGATCACAGAATTTAGCATGCACCCACGAAGAAAGGAAATCTAAACATATAAGCATGGTGTTAATCATTAAATGAATTATATTTTTCAGTGAAAAATGCGGCTCTGGAACTTTGTTGAAATTACAAGCGGATGTACGAAAACGCGGGTTCAAGTTTCAGTGTACAGACGATCCGGCGTAAGTTGACATATTGCCTAGAGTTTTAATTTTCTTAATCAGTCTTTCAAATCAACATTTTAATTACCGTTCTAAAATTATTGTGAAAGTTGTTTTCAAGTCTTCTTTCTGAATGTACACGGGCACACTCAATTTTTTTTTCGTAAGCATGGGATGATGAAAGCGAATTTGTATATATCCGTCTGTATACACTTTGGAGAGAAAAAAAAGTATATTCTAGGCGTACATCTTAAGATCACATGCATTATTTACAGGTACCTGTGGAAAACAAGCATTTATAACAATTATGTTTTATATAAACGTTTCCATCTTCAGGGATTTGAGACATCTACTCTGTGCAGATGAACCAGCAACATCTAGCTGCCGTTTCCTTGACAACGACCACACCTCTAGCGGCAACCAAATCCAAAATATCTTTAAAACTTCAGCTGTAAGAGTTGTTCTTATTTACACGTTTTTCTACTGGCGTTTTGTTAGATGACAAGAAACAGTTCAAATTCTCAAGTCGTGATGAACAAAACTGAATTAATAAGTGGGAAATTTGAAAAAAAAAAAAAAAAGGACAAATATTAACATATTCTAATTGAAATTGTTAAGGTTACCCGTTACGGAAAAAAGTGGGTCGACCATTTTTGAAATGAAGGAAAGGAATCAATGGATACCGATTCGATATAGCAGTAAACTGTCGACATACAGGTCCTTGGATACCGGATAAAAATGTTTTATAGAATTAAAAGCACATGGTGTAATTGCTACAGAGTATTAAGCTGCAAGTACTGCATGAACGTTTTTATTCACGAAAAGATCTTCACCAGCAGTTCTGAGGTTGTCATTTGTGATATATCACATTATTTGAAGTAGGAGAAGTACCTGAACAAATGGGCACAAAATCTACGTAACAGTCAACAATTTAAAAACGTATATTTATATACATATATATAACAAATTATATTAAGCTTTCTGCCAAAAGGGGGTAGAGGGAACAATAAAAAAATTTCTTTTTCGATCCTCATTTAATAAAATGATCTGTTAGGTTATGCTTGATACTTATTATGACTCTTTGGTCGCATTCACAACCAAGTTGCTCCGATGACTAATTAGACCCCATATCAAATATGGCGTGCACTTAACAGTGGATTCCTGCCTCCCATGCTTGCCGTCCCATATAAAATATATAGGGGAATAGCAATTGAATATTTGCTCGCTTTCAAGTGGGTCACATCAAATTTGATCCACGGACTAGTTAGTCTTCGGATCAACTGGTTCTGAAGGCACCCTCCGCCAAACCAGAAGAGGCTGAAAATGTTAATAAAACTTCTGAGCAGAATCAAGGTGAGGTAATATAAGAATCAGAAAAACTGCAAAAACTAAAAAAAAAAAAAAAAAATGGTACAACGCAGACCTCTGCCAAAGAGGCTACATCCTCATTACTAACTGATTAATGGATTGATCTTCACCAAGATCTATCTGACATTTCTAATCGAAATTGAAAATTTTACTTAACTCCATTCGTATCTTTTTTGGATAAAACTAACAAACCAAAGGAGGCAGAAACATCACTTTTTTGCAGGTGTGACCTGTCTTAATGCCTCTGAAAGCATCGTGTACCTCTTTACTAACCTAAACTAACCTCAACTAAACTATGCAGTAATCTATACATTTTGAAATTTAACTATATACAAGGACAACATATCAAGTTATAACTATGGTTGAAAAGTATATACAATATTCCTGATATGATATTCGTCATACAAAACAGCTTTTACATACAAATGCTTAAGAACTATAATCTTAAAATGATATCAACAGTTAAATCCTAAATCTTAGTTCATAGGAAATATTAAAAAAGAAGGTCATCTGGCACCATATCTATGATCTCTGAGACACATGATATTCTCTATAAACGGTCTCCTAGGTAACTGTAACTATGGTCTTCCCTGTACAAACACAGTCTCCTAGGTAACTGTAACTATGGTCTTCCCTGTACAAACAGTTTCCTAGGTAACTGTAACTATGGTATATTCCCTATACAAACAGTTTCCTAGGTAACTGTAACTAAGATCTTCCCTGTACAAACACAGTCTCCTGAGGGAAAAGACCACACTGTTTCAAAGTGTCGTCAAAGTCCATGTGCGATATTTTCTTCCTAGGAAATGTTGTCACCATCTCATATCGCTCGTTTGGAAAGCCGTGCTCTTCCACAAATAGCACCAGGGCCTAAAAAAGCACAATGAAACCCCAAACTGTTAAAATATGAGTCAAGATATGTATTTGTATAAAAGGTTATCAATTTATAAGTACATTTTTATGAGGGGATAAATAAATAAATAAATAAATAAATAAATAAATAAATAAATAAATAGGACCAACAAAAGTTAATTAATCATTTAAAATATTATATATATCCAGGGAACACAGCCATGGTTCATTTCTGTTGATACTTTTCGAAAACTTCTGATTATAAGTATTATCCACTAATTCCAGTAGAACAAAATAAAACGACGAAATAGTGTTAAGGGCTGTAAAAAATGTTTTGCCTATCAAATTTTTCAAAATACAGTAGACTCCAAGGAAACTTCTCTTCAGTATGGACAAGCAATATCATGTACTACACTCGACCAGTAAAGTTAAAAAACATGAAATTGTTTTTGAATAATTAAAAACTATGTAACCTAGTGGGAAAATCTGTGTATAAAAAAGGTAATGAAATGTGGGTGCATTATCCATCATGATTTGGTTAAAATATTTACCTTAGCAAATATGGTTAGTTTATAATTATTCAAAATAACAATGTTATCAAACTTTTTTGGTCGAGTGAATATCTGCTTGAATATGGAAAACTTACCCTGAGTTTAGATGAACACGGGACTTCAAAGGTCTCCCTTTTGTTCTCAGGAAACCTTACAATTACTTTGGAAGGAGGGTCTGTGTCAGGTCCCAAGAAATCTTTCCATCTTTCAGGTTTACTACTCTGAGATTCTTTCATCCTTTTCTCTGCACTTCCAATAAAGTCCGAGGAACTTTTTCTTTTCCTGTTTTCTGTTTCTCCAGATTGAGAGTCCTGTGTGTCTTTAACTTTCCCTTTCCTCACACTATTAACCCCATTTGAGATTCCGTCCGGGTTAGAAGTGGTTTTGTCTTTTTTTGAACACTTTGTTTCCTCTTTCCCACTTTTTATCATGGGAGTTGAATCTTCAACGTCAGAGTCTGAGAAAGTTTCCAGTTCGGAGCCACTAAATTCCTGAGAATCTGAGTCTGAGTCTAATGTCACTGTTGATGGGCTGCTTTTGGTATTTTTGGATGGCCTGTCTTGATTAGACTTTAAAGATGCTTGGATAGCTGCTGCCATCTGGGAGTCTTCACTGGCATCAATGATGCTGTCCTGGAAACAGAAAAAAGGTATGACTGTTAACACTCAACACTAAAATTAACAATCTGAAATTGAAATAACTGTCTTTTTTATTCTTGATGATGGACACATGAGGTAAAAATACTTAAAATAAGTGCACTGTAATTATTTGTAAATTTATTAAATTCATTCCTTGTATAATTAATAAATAAATTAATATAACCACAGTGCACAAAAGTTTAAAACTGCCTTTCAATCTTATACTTTTTTAGCTTTTTATAAGATTAAGTAGCATATTATGTAAATGAAAAAAACAGTTATTGGACTTACACTGCGTTGGACTGTCTTGGCAGGAGACGTGGCTGTACTGCCATCTGGAGATGGGTGGTGTGTCAGGAAATCTGTGACTGGAAAATATATCAGCATGGTTTAAATACAAGCTGGCCCAAGCAGTATGTAACATATCAATTATAATTCATTTATTCAATATTAGCCTTGGCCCCATGCCAAATGGCAAAAAAGTAAGTTATCTAAGTTTGTCCATGTACAGGCCATTTTTCTGCTTTGCATCAGTGGATTCTTAGACCCTGGTGTCTCAAAAGGCCAGAAAGCTACTCAAGGAAAATGGAAAACTTAATTTGTACTAATTTTCTTTGTGTTCCCCTGAACCACCCAGTTCCACATACCTATATCACAGAAGGAAACATGGTCCACTTTACTCCACACCACCATCTTCTCACCTTGAAAAAGGATTAAAAAAACTGCTTTTAGCAACCTTTTCATTAGTTTCCCATATTAACTGTAATGAGTCAACAAAATCACACAGTTTATATGCAACGTTAAAAGAAAAAAAAAAAATAAATAAAATAAAAATAACTAGGGGAATTAAGGGGAACTTTAAAAATAATTCGAGAAACTGTAAATAAGCAGAACGTAATATTTAAAATAAAAAAAAATAATTAAATAAACTACCCCACTTATTTCAAAACTAAACAACTTCTTAAAATAGAAAAAAATCTAATACCTGTCTGAGGGTCTAAGATAGCAATATATGGCCACTTGTCCACTGGATAAAACCTGATAAACTTCTGCCCCTCTTCACTGTCATGGTATACCTTAAAAGATTTTTTAAGCTTAGTCATGAAAAACTGGGTTATCTGGGATGAATCCCATTTGGGAGCTCAAACCATGATAACCTGACAAACAAGTCATTTCATGATGTTCTTTTTTGGATGATGTGTGTTCTAAATTTGAGTAATAACTGATATGTAATTTTATGACAAATATCATTAAGTCTAGAAAGGAAAGCCAACGGATCACTGATTCAATGTTACAAGAAGGAAGAGGCCCATCATCTACCATATCACCTTTCATGAAACACAAAGTCTTGTAAAGAGACATATCATGACAACCCTGCCAGTTTGTTATCAATCAAAAAATGTGGCTTACTCATTATAAATGTATGTAACAAATACTTTCAGACCATGGTGTCATGTTGTCACATCATGACCTACCTGCCACAACTTGTGTCCATGAAGCACCTGCTATTAGTATTCATGACCTTCATGCCACAACTCATGACCTACCTGCCAGAAAACAAAGTGTTCCTGTATGATAGTTTTCACAGCAGCATGACTCCACACATCTCTGTTCAGCGCCTGGCAGGAGAACTCCTGGACATTCTGTATGTTCACCATCAGCCACTTGTTATTGGTGCTGCCATATTCCTTGGCCTATTGCAACAAACATAAAACTTTGTAATGTAAGAAATATATATCTTTCCAATGTGTGATGTACTTAACATACTGACTTAGGGATGTGTAAAAATCTGGTCTGGTTTTCTGGAGAGACAACTAATCTAATAATTATTTTTGTTCTTATTTTACTTAGTCTATTATATTGATGCACCACACTTACATTTTTCAGTTTAGAATTTAATTTTCTTGTGGTATCAAAAACAATGAAAATAAATAAAATGAATATTCATAAATTAAATAAAAATAAATAAATTAAATAAAATAAATGGCTATCACAATAAACCAAAAATAACAAGGTTACTAGTACTCACAGCATGGAATGTTCCTTTGAAGACCAGATCAATAGGTGGACGGAAAAGATCTTCCAGAGTTTTTCTCTTATGCACCTTCCCCTCATCCTGCATTAGTTCTTGCTGCCCTATACATCAGAACATCAACATACTAGAAAAGCACCCCGAGATGGGAGACCTCTGCTAAAGTGGCTCAGTTCTTTAAAGGTATAATAACTCTTTGTATGAGATCTATATTTCACATTGTGAAGAACTCATAGAAATATAATATATTCTGTTTTATGACAAAAACAGCAGTTATAGCTATTATTCTGATATCTGAGCTCGTCTTCAGATCACATGACCTCCATTGATAGCTATACTCTGTTATAATCTCTTAAGAGATTTTAACAAAAAACCAAACTTTTTAGAAAAAAAAAAACAGGGACTAACTTTGAATGTAAAAATGGATTCACTGACTTTTGGTAAGTATGGGAAAATTGTTGTTTACTCCAGGAAAATTCATTTTTTGGCCCAAACGAAGAGTTATTATCCCTTTAAGATAATAGCTGCCACTAAGGTTAATAATTTTGGTTCTGTAATGTCAATTTCCTAATGCATCTCATGTCGTATTGCTCTATGAATTTAGATTTTAATAAATAAGTTTACAGATGTAAAAAGTAAAACATTAGAAGAAATGCATGCAGACATTCACACCTATAGGTGGCAGTACCATATACAGTATACTTACTGGCTTCTGCCTGAAAATCCCTGAATCCATCAAACACAGATCTTGTAGTTCTTCGACGTCCTCGGAAACCTGAAAAATCAGTGAGATCACATTTAGGATATTTTAACCATTTCACATTACATATCATGTAGGCTCTCATATAATGTATTCTGGAAGTTTTTCTTCCGTAAAATGTTCATACATTTGAAATCTATACTTGAAATCATGATAACAAATAAAATAGCTTGCTTTTCATAAACTGTTATTCTGTAATCTTTATTATAAAAGAGTAACACAAAAGAGGCCAATGTGCAAAAATTAAGAAGACAGATAGTGTTAATGCTTCCATCATAACACTTCCAAGTTTCTGGTTATTACCAAAGCTGTAGGATTCGTGCACAAGAACTTCATGCTTCTGTGGATCTGGTGCTCTGATGTCATCTCTGTAAAACACACCAAACATTGGTCATTAAAGGTACATACGAACCGAGCATCGGTGGAGCGTGGATTCCCAGTAACACATGTAAACCACTTCTACTAGATTCTTATATGACTCAAATAAATTTGACATGCCAAGGGATAAACTGAATAGATCACTCGATCAGCCGTAAAATACCTTTAGACTGCTTCTTTCTTTAAATTTATGGTTGTAAATTTAACCTACTTCCGTGACCTACTTTCCTGCCCCATTGACATACAGCTTAGAATGCCAGCAGAAAAATCTGTTCAAACATCATTTTCGGGTAAAATTAAACAATGCATTTTGGTAATTCTCTTAGTTATCCTACTTGAAACTATATGCTGGCATTTGGTTGGTTTTTGTGACAAAAATTTGACTTTGTATGTATCTTTAATAATATGAATGCACAGTCAACAATCTTGGGTTATTAATGTGCTAGTATAAGTAAAGAAATAATAATAATAATATTAGAGGAAAGGCTATTGTATTCAACAGCACATAAACAACTTTGTCTTGTCAAGCAAAATTTTTTACCTGAACCAATTTAACAAAATAGTAAGGTGTGCAGATGAAGGTGACCTTGGCAGCTAGACTATCTGATGAATAGGTTCTATATCTTGGGTTGACATTTCCATCAAAATTAATTCTTAAAAATTTGTTTAAAGAAAAAAATCAGGAAAAAATACCCCTGCATTTCCAGTTCCCTTCACATATGAGTAAAATGTGACTATGAAATACAATCTTACTATTTATGTACGATAATATTTGGATACTAGCTTCCATTATATAAGGAAGTAATATATTTAATATAATCTTAGTAATGTACCTCTATGTGTTACACAGCTGCAACAAGTGATGCAACTGCATCTTTGATTAGAGGATTGAGAGGCAATTCAAAACAACTTTCATACAATACAGCTATCATATATTATTATATGGTATAATTATACATAGTCAAACTGACAATATATGCATTCTTAATAGCAAACTATCATCACAGGTTACTTTCAAGCCAGATAAAATAGAGGGTTAAAAAATTCAATATACATTTGTCTTAATCATGTAAATATATTTTGTTTGAAATTGACAACTGGCACAAAGGAAAAAAGTGGTGTCATATGATAACTTACTCGTCATCTTGAATTGGTGCTGATGAGACTCGACTACTTGTGCCAGGTGTTGGTACCGGCTCCTCTTGTCCTGCAGCACCATCTATATGCATGCCAATGGCCATCTCTAAGTTGCCGTTACATGCTTCCAGTAATCGCTCTGCTACAACCTTGTCAGCACCTGCAAATATTTGATAGGGAACAGTTGCATCATTTATTGGTGGTTTTAATTTCAAACAAGCCCTCCCTCTAAACTAGGATGACAAATTATAAAACGATATGGCTTCGTGGAAGTGCTGAAAAGCCTACTCATACAAATAAAATTGTGGACACAATCAATTTGCAAGAAACGTCCTCTAGATAACTGTGCATTTAGTAAAACTAGCACTGTAACAGCGATGCCTGGTTGTCATTAAGCTCTCAAACATGGATTACTTTATGGGCCCTGTGGAATTTTTCTACCCAGATTATTTTGTTGAAGTCTACCATATATGGGTTAAGGCACTCTGCTATGTGGCAGTATGGGTGGTCTTTGTAAAGGGATCACTTAATTGCTGTTGCTGCTTCTATTTCATTTTTCAAATAATTCATGACACGAAGACAGTGGGTGCAGTTCATGAGCTTTAATGATGAGTACAATTTTAAAGGAAAATGTATGTAAACCAATAACATTACAGGTTATATAAATATATGATTTATCTTAATTGAAAACTTCCGTAACTTCAATTGTTTGGTTGGATCTTCTTTAAATTTCAATTAAATATCTTATTTTTGTTGCTGTTTGGTAGTCTTATGTGGTCCAATATGGATCGTTTGATGTAGTTTTTGATTCACGAATCATCAACCGATAAACTTTACTAATCTTCACAACCTTCACTGACACTGGTCTTCACTTCAGCAAAGCTGTAAAAGACAACCAAGCGTGATTTTACTGAACGCCCCTTTACACGGCATCGAATCGTTCTGTGGACTTTGTAACCGTACATAATTTCAGAATATATCACACTTACTGGAGAACCTAAGAACTTTGTCGTTAAACTCTAGCACTTACCTGTTATTGCAATAAATTGGTCTACTAGCGAATTTCCTCCCTCTCGAGTCGCCATTTGTGTGGTGGGAAACGAAACCGAGGTTTTTAAATCTATTTCAAGCCTTCTCGTAATAAAGAGCTCTCCTAGCAGTCAGAAAGTCACTACTTCACTGAGCGTTTGGCGTATATATTCGTTAAAGGCTGTTTATATAGCAAAAAATGATTATCCCAGAAATTTCAACGCTTTTTCTTTTAAAACCAAGATGCACTTTATTCCAAATTATTTTAAAAATACGAACTAGAAAGATAACAGAACAAAAATAGAGCTCAGTAGGCCTGCATGTAGGTCTAGTTTAGAATCATAAGTGAGTTTATAGATAAACTCTACATGAGACAAACATCACCTACAAATGAATCATCAAGCACAGCACAATAAATTAAAACGCTTTTTTCCAATGGGGTCCTTCACGATTCAAGATGATAAGGTAAAGATGGTAAATAAATTTGGATCCAAAAGACGAGATAGATAAATAAAATTAAACCAATGATGTTATAAATGAGTGTAAAAATGATAAGCATTTAAAACAAATTTCATGCACACATTTAATAAAAACATTATTTTTTTCACCTATAAAGTGTGCCACAGAAAAAGAAAGAGAGAAAACTCCACTTAAAGTCTTTTAAATTATCCTTTTGTTTCAAATGTAGGCCTACACATAAAATCGCAGTTTTTCTATATTCCACTTAACGCCAGGAGGAAGCGTGTTAATCTGATTGAATTCAGCCAGTTCCTGTGGAGTTGGGTCGATCTACGTAGAAAGATAGTTGCGTTGGGAATTGGTATTTAGACTATGATTATGATATATATAGATTATGATGATTGCAAATGTTGCATGTTTCGCTGTCATCTGTGGGTCACATCGTTGACCGGGGGGAGGGGGAGGGGGGAGGGGGGATTGGGGGGATGGGGGG